AAGGTCAGTGTTTCAAAGTTTATTTTTATAGTACTATATGTGGATGAAATCTTACTTGCGAACTCAGATTTGTCTTTACTGCACTCAACTAAAGGCATGCTTACTGAGAGTTTTGATATGAAAGATCTTGGTAAAGCTCATTTTGTACTAGGTATTGAGATTAAGAGGGACATATCAAAGAGAATGCTAGTTTTTTTCCAAAAGACCTATATTGATAGAGTAATGAAGAGGCTCAATATGGACAAGGGGTGCAGGTGGAGAGCTTCCCATTGCAAAGACAGACGAGTTCAGCACTGACCAATGCCCAAAAAAATGATTTGGAGAGGACATGGATGAAAGACAAGCCTTATGCATCACTTGTTGGCAGTTTTATGTACGCTCAAGCCTGTACTAGGGCCTGACCTAGCATTTGCTGTGAGTATGTTGGGTCGTTTCTAATCCAATCCTAGTGTTCTTCACTGGACTGCTGCAAAAAAAGGTACTTAAGTATCTTAAAAGGACTAAAGACCTTGTTCTAGTGTTATACACAAGTTCAAAATCTTGAGTTGGTTGCTTACTCAGACTCTGACTTGGCTTGCTGTGTGGATGATTGAAAATCAACTAGTGGATATGTTTTCTTGTTGGCTGATGGTGTTGTCTCATAGAAAAGCTCCAAAAAAAAGGTAATAGCTTCCTCAACCGTGGAGGCTAAATTTATTGGCTGCTATACTGCTACTAAGCTTGCAATCTAGTTAAGAAACTTTATCAAGGGACGACTGAAAGTTGTTAATTCAATTGAGAGACCAATAACTATATATTGTGACAATAGAGCAGTAGTCTTCTTTTCAAGGAACGACAAGAGACCTATTACTTGCAGGCTGATGGATATAAAGTATCTGGATGTTAGAGATGAAGTGAGAAAGGGTCTTCTGAATATTGAACATGTAGGCACTGATCTCATGACGGCTAATCCCATGACCAAGGGTTTGGCAGTTGTAGTGTTGAAGAAGCATAACTACAATATGAGTATGCGAGAGACTTTTGATTCTGTTAATGAGAAGGAGTAAAACACTCACATGTTCCTCTTCTCTCTCTTATTGTTATGTTTCCTTAAACTGATATGTTGGATTTCTTATACTGATTGTTTTGTTCTCACATTTTTGTTTTATTTGACAAAATATGAGCCATGCTTTTATTTGACAAAATATGAGCCATGCTTGCTTGAGTCTCAGTTCAAGAGTTGGTTTTCTGCTTATCAACCTGAATTAACGAAAGATGTTAGCAACATAGTGCTCATAATTTAATATTTGTGGTAATAGAGTACACATGTGGAAGCAATTACATGTTATTTTCTGTAATCCAATATTTAAACTACTAGTGAAAGGTTGTTAAAGGTATATTTGCAAATTTGAGGGACTCAGTGATCACCTATCACTTTAGTCAAGTAAGGATCATGTTCTTGGACACTCAAGGGAGAGAATGTAAGTTATGAGTGTCAAAGAACGAGTGCTCGCTGTTTCTTGACATACAAGCAACTCGGCCAATATGAGTTTATAGTTGAAGAAATCATGGAGCCTTATCTAGTTAGGTTTAGGAGTCCTTATTTAGTGCAATTAATCTTGAAAACCTTAATTAGTTGACAAAGAAATCATTACCATTTAGGACTCTTATGATACCCTAATTGATATGGAATGTCTCATATAATCAGCTAATAGGTCAGATTATAGGGATAGTCATTAATATATTAGGAAGTCCCTGCACTCACAGTAATCATCTTTGCTTTGTGCTAAACCCCATTTCCCTAGCAAAAGGACTTACGACTGCTTGAGTGGAGAAGACTCTCCATGGCAGGAGCTTCCTCAGGTAAGTTCTCCATTCATTCTACGTTTCATGCATGCTCATGGTTGTCGTTCTTAATGTGTCGTGTTTTAATATACGCCTTACAATGATACCTTAAATTCTAAAGTAGATAAAAGATGAAGGGCGAAGGTCTAATTTTTGATGTGCATGTTGGAGTGTTTTTACTCCTCAAGCTTTTAGTCTCATAGTTGGATAAGTGGTTTTGTGAAATTTCTTTTAAAACTTTGCCCTTTATTTATCAGCATCATTGCCTGCAATTAAGTTCCATATTCGCATAGCACCATATTGCCCAAAAACATGCCCATTAAGATAGAAAGGCTTACAACAGCCACAACAAGTTCCACAAATTTTAATTGCCAACCATCCAAATACTGCAAAGCACACTACACAAAGCAAGACAAAGGGACCACAAAGTAAACTTAGAATTACAATGAAACACTTATTTGAGAATACAAATTCACATCATTAACTTTGTGTTCGTTAAATTTAAGGAAAAGCTTGAATAACAGAATATTGGATAGCAGGAACAGGTGTGATAGTGTGTCCACTAAAGCCAGCCCCCCCAAGAACATATTCCCATTCCTTCAAGCTCCTTTCTTTGCCTTTGTTAGTATGGGCAATCATCACCATATCTAACATCAATTTCAGATTTGCTAGCTTCTTGTCTTCTTTCTCATATTTTTCGTCGATAACGGCATCTATGATGATCACCTTCCCCGTGTCCTTAGGAACGGCTTCCCGGCACTTTTTAAGGATACGAATGCAGTCATCGTCACCCCAGTTATGAAGAACCCCCTACAATCAACCAACTTGCACTGTGTATCATAACACGATTTTGTTGAGCAAGAAAATTTATAGCGAGATAATAAGAGAGCAAGGCTAGAAGAGCCACCCTTAACATTAATTTTTTTCTTCTCAAATTATGGCATTAGCAGACCACTTGATATGTGAAAGCTGACGTATTAATTAACATATGACGAATTCTATTAGTATTACCATAAACAAAAGTATAAATGCTTATTGCTTACCTTGATGATTACTGCATCAGCCTTTGGAACGCGATCAAACATGTCACCTCCAACATTCTCAACGCGATCACAATCCTGAGCAGCAGAGACAACATGCGGAAGATCAAAGTTAATGCCACGAATCCAAGGGCAACCCTCGACCAACAAGCGCAACATAGTCCCATTTCCCCCGCCGACATCTACTATTGTCTCAAGGCCTTTGAACACCTCTATACAACTTTTAATCACTGCAGGCACAGCTGCCTTTACATCACAAGTCATTGCATCATTGAAAAGCTTGCTGTGATCAGGATTGGCCGCACCAAAGCTCCATAAGTCCTCCCCATGTACTTCCTCAAACAATTGATTGCTAATATTTCCTCGAATTCGGGCACTTAAGCCGTGCCATGGTGCCAGCATTACCGGACTACTCTCCAGCAAGATCAGCGCCACCATGCTATTTTCTCCGGATTTCAGTAGCCGGTGAGACAGAGGTGTTTGTGCATAACCTTTGGAGCCTAATTGGTTTGTGGTTATTTCTTTGAATAATTTGAGGTGGACTAGTACCCTCATGACGCGGTAAAGGTGAGAAGGATCACAACTTAGAGCAGATGAGAGCTCTAAGAGTGTCATGGGGCTTCCATGGCTTTCAATTGCTTCAGCTATTCCGAGCTCAATGGCACATTTTACCACCGCGATTTCAACAAACCCAAAAACATATTTCCACACATCCACCTTGGCATGTTCTTCTTCCTCTTCCCATGTTAACACTCTTTGAGTATCTTCCATCTCTCTATGTGTGTGTGTCTTGGGCTATAAGCTAGCACTGTATATATAATATTTAGGAGAAGAGATTGCAGTTTATGCTTTGGTTAATTACATGTGATTAGCATTGATGTAACCCATCAATTTGATTGGGTTTTACCAAAGATTCAATTACTATATGTTTAATATAAATTTCCTATTATAAATAGTATATATCCCATGGAATCCTATGCGCGGTTGGTTCAAATCCTTTTCCACAATTGCTCAATCTTTGATACAATTTTTACCAAAGTATTAGGTACATAGGGAAAATGTGCTTGCTGAAAAAGTATGTGTTCTAAGAAAATTGGATTAGTGTAAATTAGTTAAGGCACTTTATATAAGCTGTAACATCAAGCTCCACAAGATACATGTGATGAGGTGGATGTTTTGGGAGTTTAGTAAATTAAAACAACAAAAAGGAAGGATCTATGTAGATACGGTACCGACTAGACATCACTAAATTGTAAATAAAGCTGATCAAAATAAAGCTGTTTCATGTTTAAAGGAAAATTATAACCGGTCCCCTCCCAATAATTTGTATATGCTATTTTGAACGGAAAGCACTTTTTCGACGATGCCTAGTGTCTGAAGAAAAGGGTTAAACTAAAATGCAATCAATGTAGATTTCGAAAGATTTGACCACTGAAACTTTTAGTCCCAAGGAGAATAGTTAGGCATAAACTACAAGAGGAGTGAAATAATAATGAATATATCAGTTCCTACAAATGAACCTGGTATTGGCGCCAAGTAACCGGAACAATAAATAAGCATAGATGCGCAGGGCTTTGTTACTTGACATCAGTTAATGTGATCGAGCTACACGTGTTCGGATTAGGGTTTGGTAAACTGAGTGCTTCATTCATTCACCAGCAGCTAGATTGTGGGGGAAAAAGAAATCAAAACGAGCATCTACTTTGTGCAACGGAGCAAGCTGAGCTTAATTAGCGTCTAGAAAATAACTGTTGAAATCAACTTCACGCTCACAGCCTCATATCAACATAGAAAGCCTTCTGTTGAGTTTTTATCATGACAAAAGTATGAAATAAATTTAATCTAAAACGTCGATATTCTTGGGCAAAGGAAATCCAATTTTGCTAATAATAACTCCAAACTGGTAGATCATAACGGTTCATGACGCATTACTATGAAAGCTTCTAACTAGGTAAATCAAATAGAACAATTACCGTAAGGCTAAGCTTTAAAAGAAAAGGAAAAGTTAAGTCGCCAAGTAGATCACGTTTTATCCTTTGTTTTTGTCTCAAAGGACATCAAAAGACAAAGCTAACGCAAAAAGACATTGGAAAAACTCATTTCCCAAAAATATTCCTACTGAGATAGAAAGGTACATAGCAGCCACAACTCATTTCATAAAATTTATTGCCAATCTTCGAAACACTACATACAGGTTACACAAAGCAAGAGTAATAGGTAATTAACTTAACAATTTTGACAATCTTACAAGTTTCAACAGGAAAAACACCACAAAGTAACTGGAAAAATACAAGGAAACACTTATTTGAGAATACAAATCCACACCCTTAACATTGTATTCTTTAAATTTAAGGAAAAGCTTGAATAACAGATTGGATGGTATGAATAGGTGTGATTGTGTGTCGACTAAAGCCAGCCTCCCCAAGAACATATTCCCATTCCTCCATGGTCCTTTCTTTGCCTGTGCCAGTATGGGCGATCATCACCATGTCCAGCATCAGTCTCGCCTTTTTTAACTTTGAGTTTGCTTTCTCATCTTTTTCGTCAATAACAGCTTCTACGATGATCACCTTCCCTTTGTCTATAGGAATAGCTTCCCTGCACTTCTTCAGGATACGGATGCAATCATCGTCTCCCCAGTCGTGAAGAACCCACTGCAAATGAAGAAAACGTAAATTAACGTAACATATCTTGTTGAGGAATAACCCTCTTTTTGAAACTTGTTTGTACCATACTTGACCAATCCCGAAATTACTGAGCACCGGTCAATGTTAGACCGTCAAGGACCCAGTAGAGTTTCCCTCCAACCAGGAGGCCAATCATAGCACGACACGTGTCAACATCAGAAGCCAATCACAACACAACACGTGGCAATGTCAAAACAAAGCTAGAAACTCTCTTTTATAAAAGGAGATCATTCTCCCACAATATTTCCTAATGTTATTTGTACTAAATCATTCACTAGTACTCACTAAAGGAGAGCTTGAACCTATGTACTTGTATAAACCCTTCACTATTAATGAAAACTCTTCTACTCCATGGACGTAGTCAATCCGGGTGAACCACGTATATCTTGTGTTTGCTTCCCTGTCTCTATCCATTTACATACTTATTCGCACTAGTGACCAAAGCAATCTAACGAAGGTCACAAACTTAACACTTTCTGTTGTACCAAAGTTCTCATTGATTTTGTGCATCAACATTTGGCCCCGTCTGTGGGAATGACACTTATTCCCACTCTCTTCAACTTTGTTAAGCTGGTTTCCACCATTCGTACACTCTCTTTTGACCAGGCATCCCTTTCCAACATGGGGAGCGAAGGATGCCACAGCACACAAAATGACACCCCTCTTGCACCTGGTGTGAAGCAACGAAGGAATGAACAAAAGAAGTTTGCTCTTCTGGCTAAAGTCGATGAGCTGGAAGCTCAGAACAACAAGATAGCAATGAAGAATGAGATCCTCCAAGAGCAGTATGAGAAGGTCTTCGAGATGCTCCACGAGGCTAGATATACTAAAACACACGAGCTCATCACCCCTGTGGAAGTCAACCATCAACTGGGTGCCCCCAACACGGAGGGTCATTTGCCCTCGGCATGGGTATTCCTGTTGAGGAGTAAGCTACTCATCGAAATGGCGACCAAGATAAGACTTCTCTCAACCCAGCTGCTTCGACCCGAAGCAGAAGGAGTGGAGGAAGACACCTCCTTACAAAATGAGTGGAAGGATCGAAAGCCGTCTTTCGCGACTGTCGAGACTTCCTAAAGCAACATCAAGACAATCCCATCCATGTAAGCTCGAAGATCAATGACCCAAGGGTCTTTGAAAGACTCGATCCCCTCTCATGTCCCAGGCCATCTACCAATTTGGGGAAGGGGAAACAAGTCATAAAGGAACACGAAGGTATAGGGGACTCAGAGATGTTCCAACATACATACCTTGGAAGTCAGTACAGCGAGTCCAGGGAAAAATCACATGCTCTTAATCAAACCTTCCTACTTCCAAGAAGAGATGGAGATTTACGAAAGAAGCTCCAGTGGTACATGACTCCACTCAGGACCCTCTTGTCCTACAGCTCCTTAAGGAAGTAAACAAGTTGAAGGCCGAACGATAAGCCGAGATACCTGATTGGAACCAACCTAGGCCTGACCCTTTTACAAAGAGGATCCTCGACACTCCTATCCAAGCAAAGACAAAGCAAAAGCTTGGCTTGTAACTCTATACTGGAAATGAGGACCCGATTGAACACCTTAACCTCTTTGAGTCCACCATGGCATACCGGATGCACACCGATGAATAGCGATGTCTTCTCTTCCTCTCCACCCTCTATGGCGGAGTTCTAATTGCCGTCTTCCACCTGAGACGGTAGACTCCGTTGAGGAATTAAGGAAACTGTTTGGTTCTCAACACATTTTGCCAGATCGATCACTTGCACTCTGCGGATGACTTGTACACTATTCGCTAGAAGCCAGACAAGTCATTATGTATGTATGCTGGCTGCTTCAGCTATGAGTATTCCCATTGTGCCGAGGCAAACGACAAGACTGCCCTCAAAGCCTTCACGGTAGGCCTACATGATTGTTTCTTCAAGTACATGATCAATGCCAACACTTGGAAGACTTACTCTGAGGTGATGGCATAGGCTTACAACCATGCCTCCGCCGAGGCAATGACATATCAAGGGAAACCCCTCACAGCCACCCCTTATCAACAAGTAGGGAGTGGAAACCAAATCCAACCAAATGAGAAGACCTCGACCTTCCAAACCGCAGCGATGCCTCCCCCTACCTTACTTAATACTTCGCCAAGTCAACAGACATATCAACCTCAGGGCAAAAGGAAAGATTTCCATCCTCACCAGTCTCATTTTAGTAAAAGGAGTAAGGGACACTATCGCGATAACCAAGGGTATCACCACAATAATGCCCGTCCTCAGGCAGTCAACACAGTGGGCTAAGCACGTGTCAGGACAGGCCCTACCTTGAGGTATGAGACATGCACATCCTTGAATGCCACATGCGTGGCCATTTACCCTAGCATAGCACACCTGATACCGAAGCCAATGCCAAGGCAGTCGGGTTACAACCCCACAAAGAACACGGGCACGTTTTGCTACTACCACAAGCATAACGACCATGACGGCGAGAAGTGTATCATTCTTCGTGATCATATTGAAGCTTTGGCAGGTGAAGGAAAAATTGATCGATTCTTTCTTCACTCGTCAAAGGATAATTGTAACCAACGTCAAGTGAATGTGATATATTCCATAACCGGCATCACACCTATATCTAAATCTTCCAATAGGGCCTTGAAAAACAGCGAACGAGCTTTAAGGCATGGCCACCAAGTGTTTCACGTGGAAGACATCAGGGGAGGCAAGTATCAAAAGCCTAACTGGGATCCAATATGTTTCTACCCTGAGGAAGAAAGAGGTATCATCTACCCTCACAACGACCCACTGATCGTGGAGGCTCACATAGCCAACTTTGAAGTACAACGAATCCTGGTAGACACAGGGGCTTCGGTCATATCATGTTTGCTGAAGCTTTCAGGGCACTTAATGTAGCTGAACACTTGCTTGATTGCTCGATTATCCTCCGATAAGGTTTTCCGGTGATATTGTGCAATATTTAGGGAGCATACACCTACCTTTCACCATTGGTACAGGGCCCTTACACAACTACCATTACCACTAACTTTCTGGTGGTTGATTGCCCAATGGCATACAATGTTATCATTGGACGCACAGGCATCAATGATCTCAAGGCCATGGTATCCACACATATGTTGTTGATGAAATTTCCAACCCTCTATGGCAATGGTTACATCAGAGGAAATCAACTTAGTGCACGGCCATGTTACAACACTTCGGTCAAGCAACAGCACCTGCCTGTGCCCAAGGAAACATTTTCTATACATGATCAAGTCATAAAGACTAGCCCGGACGAAGCCAACTTGGATCTTCACGGTGGCAACAGTCAACCTGACGATCCTCGAGATGACTCTTTCACCCAGCAAGCATAACCTGCTGAAGAGCTGGAGAAGGTTTCTATCTCAAAAGATTATCCAGATCGCATGGTGAAGATTGGCACCACTTTGTCACCACTTTGTCACCACCTATTCGGTTGGCATTGATCTCTATTTTGCAAGAGAACACTGAGGTCTTCGCCTGGTCATACGAGGACATGCCAGGCATTTCGCCCGATATCATCTGTCATCGCTTAAGTATTGATCCTAAGACCAAGCTAGTGAGACAGAAGCAAAGATCTTATAACGCTGAATGGTACGAGGCAATGAAGACAAAAGTTGAAAAACTCAAAGGCATGGGCTTCGTCCACGAAGTCAATTATCCAACGTGGGTAGCAAATGTTGTCCTTGTTAAGAAGAATCTGACCAAGGAAAGTCTTCTGCTCCAAAAGGTCTTATAGAGAATGTGTGTCGATTACACCGACCTAAACAAAGAATGCCCGAATGATAGCTTTCCTCTTCCTCTCATAGACAGACTTATAGACTCTATGGCAGGGTGTGAACTCTTAAGCTTCATGGATGCTTACTCAGGATACAACCAAATCCTCATGAACCCTCCGGACTAAGAACACACAGCCTTCACTACTGACAGGGGACTATATTGCTATAAAGTCATGCCCTTCGGCCTAAAGAATGCAGGGGTGACTTATCAGAGACTAGTCAATTCGATGTTTGCCGAACAGATTGGGAAAAGCATGGAAGTTTACGTTGATGATATGCTAGTCAAGAGAAAACATGCTGACGTACACATCACCAACCTATCTGAAACTTTCACCATTCTAAAGAGGTATCGAATGAGGTTAAACTCCAACAAATGTGCCTTTGGCGTAGGCTCTAGCAAATTCTTAGACTTCATGATAAGCTAACGAGGCATTGAGGCTAATCTTGAGAAGATCAAAGCAATCCTTGACATGAAGGAACCAGTAACTTCAAAAGACATCCAGAGCGTTACCGGCAAGGTGGCAGCCTTAACTAGGTTCATCTTTAAAGCCACAGACAGATGTGCTCTTTTCTTCAAAACACTTAAAGGAAGTAAGAAGTACATTGCATGGACTGATGAATATGCCGAGGCATTCAAGAACCTCAAAGACTACATGAGTAAAGCCCATCTGCTCTCCAAACCTGAGATTAGTGACACTTTCATTATCTATATGTCGGTATCGGTTTCAGCAGTAAGTTCCGTTCTCATTCGAAATGATGGTAATGTCGAACGGCCTGTCTACTTTGCTAGCATGGCCTTACAAGATGCGGAGACACGATACTCCAACATTGAGAAATTGGCTCTAGTATTGGTCATGTCTGCTTGAAAACTTAACCCTTACTTCCAAGCACACTCCATCATCGTGCTTACCAATCATCATCTTTGACAGATACTCCAAAGTCCTGACACTTTAAGACGAATGATCAAATAGGCGATAACATTGGGTGAGTTTGACATCTCCTACCAACCAAAGCCAGCTAAGAAGGGCCAAGCAGTGGCAGACTTTATCGTCGACTTTACATATCATGTTAACATTGTTTCTACGCCTAAAGAAGTGGTTTCATTACCCTCGGAAGCTCAGAAAATAGAACCAACAGCCCCAACATGGAGTCTATATGTTAATGGCTCGTCCAACCAACAGGGTTGTATAGCAGGATTAGTCCTTACGACCTTTGACAAAGTGGCGATGGAGTATGCTCTTCGTTTCAAATTCAAGGCGTCGAATAATGAGGCCGAATATGAAGCCCTCCTAACAGGCTTACATTTGGCCAAACACCTTGGGGTTAAACAAATTGATATCTTAAGTGACTCCCAATTGGTGGTTAACCAGGTCACCAATAACTTTGACGCTAAAGATAGTTCTATGGCAGCATATCTGGCACAAACACAATTGTTGCTCAAGCACTTCCACTACCGGATCACCTAAACTCCTCGAGCGGCAAATAGTTATGCAGATGCTTTGGCTCACCTCGCCTTAGCGGTGGAAGACAAGATTTGGAGAAAAATTCAAGTCGAATTGTTGGCAGCACCAAGCACCATGGCTGCAGAAATGTGCAATTTACAATGGGGGGATAGTTGGATTACCCCGATTTATAGATTCCTTACTCATGGCACCCTTCCAAATGACAAAGTCCAAGCTAAGCAGATTCAATACAAGGCTACCCGTTACTTGATCATTAATGACCAACTCTACAAGCGGGGTTTCAACCTACCATACCTAAGATGCCTTACACCCGCAGAGGCAGAAACTATCCTTCGAGAAATACATGAAGGAGTCTGCGGAGATCATGCTGGATCTCGATCCCTAGCATACAAGGCTTTTCGCCAAGGATATTACTGGCCAACACTCCACCAAGATGCCATCAGAATATCCTGCTCATGTGATAAGTGTTAACGCTACGCAACTATTCTTCACTCCCCTCCCGAGCCGCTCACTCCTATGGTTAGCCCTTGGCCCTTCGCTCAATGGAGACTTGATTTGATCGGCCTAATGCTTGCAGGGAAGGGCAATGTCCGCTATGCAATCGTTGCAGTTGATTACTTCACAAAATGGGCCGAAGTTGAGCCCTTGACAACCATTACTGAGGCAAAAATAGAAAACTTCATATGGAAGAACATCCTTTGCAGATTCAGTATTCCCAATGCAATAGTCACTGACAACGGGCGACAGTTCAACAACAATAAGTTCAGGATGTTCTGCTCTAAGTTCAACATCAACTTATGTTTTGCCTCCCCACCTCATCCCCAGTCTAATGGACAAGTTGAAGCCATCAACAAAATAATCAAGCGAACTTTGAAAACCAACTTGGACAAGGCTAAAGGTTGTTGGCCATAATTTGTACCCCAAGTTCTTTGGTTATACCGCACTTCGTATCAGATATCAACAGGAGAAACCTCATTCTCACTTGCCTTTGGTACAGAGGCAGTTGTCCCAGTTGAGCTTGAGCAAGCAACGTTCCAAGTCCAGAACTACGTGCAAAGTGAAAATGACAAACAACTTACCCTCAACTTAGATCTAGTCGAGGAACACAGAAATCAGGCTCACTTGAGGAATGTCGCCTACAAGCAGCGCATCTTCAACTACTATGACTCAAGGGTCAAACCTCGTTCTTTCAAAGTGGGGGACTAGGTATTAAAGAAAAGATTACTCTGCGACAAAGTACCGAGTGAATGAACACTTAGTCCAAACTGGGATGGATCGTTTGAAGTTGTTGGCATCAGTCGCCCTAGCTCCTTTAAGCTTAGAAGCTCTAATGGCAAGACCCTTGGCCATCTATGGAACGCTGATCACTTGAAGTACTATTACAAGTAAACTCACATTGTACAAGTGTTAAGCTGCAACCATTCAGCATCATATGTAACGAAGACTATTTGGCATGAATTCAATAAAAAGCTGATTTAGACAACTTGGTCATAATCCTCTTACATTCCTAGCAATGAAACACTCGGGTTCAAAGCTTCAACATGAATTCTTCCAACATGAAACAAAGTCTAAGTATATGTCAACAAGACTATACAAATAAACGAACAGCTTCACAGTATATTCGTTCAATCATACATTCCAACACATTCATACATAAGCCAACTGTGCTTTGAAAGGGTTCAACATACTTTGTGTCATTCAACACTTGCTACAATATGCCTCGACACCTTGCCCTTATTCTCACCAACCAGGTGATGAAATGTGAAGAAGGAAGTCATCTTCATGCCACCAACCAGGTGATGAAATGTACAACCCGTACTCTCCTTCATGCTACCAACCAGGTGATGAAATGTACAACATGTACTCTAATATCATTTGGAAACTTGCCACTCATGCCACCAACCAGATGAAGAAGAGACTCATCTTCATGCCACCAACTAGGTGATGAAATGTATAACCCGTACTCTCCTTCATGCCACTAACCAGGTGATGAAATGTACAACTCATACTCTAATATCATTTGGCAACTTGCCATTCATACCACCAACCAAGTGAAGAAGGAACTCATCATCGTACCACCAACCAGGTGATGAAATGTGATGAAGGAACTCACCTTCGTACCACCAACCAAGTGATGAAGGCAACTCACCATTCATTCCACCTACCAGAAGACGAGTGGTACAACTTGTACATGTGAACTTCTAGCATTCACAAATAATCAAAAACCCTCAAGCTTGACAACTCAACTAGGGGAGCACTTATGCCCAACAAGAGTTATAGTCACTAACAAAGTCTTATTACAAACCAACTTCCATCCTCCATGAACAGGCAGACCTGCAAAAATGCTCAACCATTCCTCATATCTGAGAAGGCACTCCCAACGAAGCCTCTCGAAATACTCAGCTTTCTTCCCGCCCCCCCCCCCAATAATACCTACGCAAACCAGCCACACCAGAGTAAGAGTATCTCATATCATCAGGGTCAAAAGCAAGAGTATCCTATATCATGTTTTTCCCCGTCTTTTCATTTGCCTTTGTTTTTACCTGTAAGACAAAGAGAAAGAGAGCAATCAGTCAGCACTTGGAATCAAGCTTCCAGTCAAAAACTGACTGCCTGGAACCCCTTGCCTAATTATTTACCTGGCATTGCTCTTGAGTACTCATCTTCAACATCTTATGCTTCCAGAAAAGATACCACATCTGCCTGAGGAACAGATAGGGCAAGTGAGAAGTATACAAGGAAGCATGTGAAGACAAACGCAACAGAACACATGCCGATTCATCTATTACTTTGTCAATAGCAAAGGTATCCCATATCATCAAGGTCGAACGCACTCTTGATTTGATGGACTTGTTTTGACCCTTAAATTCTTGAGTCGGCCTTATACTCTTGAGGAAACCAGAAAACCCTCCAGCCCAGTTCAAGAATAAGCCTGTGAAAAGTTACTTTTTCAAAAGCAAAAGTATCTCATATCATCTCTTCTCATTTTTCTTCTCTTTATCCTTCCTGCTGCCTGCAAGATAGGGAGAATGAGAACAATCAACCTGAACTCGAAATCAAATTTCTGATATGGGATTGATTGCTGGGAGCTCTGATTGCTTACCTTGTCTGTCACCTCTTTCAGCATATCTGCTAGCTCGATGACTTGGGGGACTCCTACTACATGGTTTGTATCGTGCTTGACCAAGCCTGAAACTACAAGTAAGCTTCAAGTGAAATTGATACATTACCTTGTGCATCTCCACCGATTAAAGATACCACCCCTGGATGGAGGAAGTGTCACATCTACGTATGAGACAGATAAGGCAAGTGAAAACAATACCACACTTCGGTACTTAGAAGTTTCGTGATTACTCAGTGACTTGGATCTTGCAAGTCCCCAACCGAGGAGCTTCCCTCACTCGGGAACTTAAGGGAGCACTGTTTGTACCATACTTGACCAATCCCGAAACTACTGAGCACCGATTAATGTTATATCGTCAAGGACCCAGAAGAGTTTCCCTCCAACCAGGAGGCCAATCACAGCATGACACTTGTCGACATCATAAGCTAATCATAGCGCGACACGTGTCAACATCAGAAGCCAATCACAAAATGACACGTGTCAATGTCAAAACAAAGCTAGAAACTCTCTTCTATAAAAGAATATCATTCTCCCACAATATTTCCTATGTCATTTGTACTAAATCATTCATTAGTACTCACTAAAGGAGAGCTTGAACCTATGTACTTGTGTAAACCCTTCACAATTAATGAGAACTCATCTACTCCGTGGACGTAGCCAATCTGGGTGAACCACGTACATCTTGTGTTTGCTTCCCTGTCTCTATCCATTTACATACTTATCCACACTAGTGACCGGAGCAATCTAGCGAAGGTCACAAACTTAACACTTTCTGTTGTACCAAAGTCCCCACTGATTTTGTGCATCAACAAAACTCATGATGTGTTAATAAATAATATATATATATGATCTTAATAAGTAAGCATTACGGACACATCATGTGATTAACGAATACGTCAATTTAGATCTAACATTTCTTTTCTCTGTCTTTCTTTGTCGGACCATTCTTTATTCCTCTTTATCATGATTTAAATATTTAATTTACAAACTATAAACACTAACCTTGATAATTATAGCATCAGCCTTCGGAACACAATCAAACATGTTGCCTCCAACATATTCAATGCGGTCAGGCTTCTGAGCATCAGAGACAACATGAGGAAGATCAAAGTTGATGCCTTGAATCCAAGGACAAGCCTCAACCAACAAGCGCAATGTAGTCTCATTACCCCCTCCCACATCTACTAGTGTGCCAACCCCTTTGAACACCTTTACACAGCTTTTAACCAATGCAGGCACAGCCAACCTTGCATCACAAGCCATTGCTTCATTGAAGAGTTTGTTGTGATCAGGGTTGGCCACGCCAAAGCTCCATAGGTCCTTACCGTGTAGTTCCTCAAACACTGGATTCCTAAGATTTCCTTGAACTCGGGAACTTAGGCTGTGCCATGGTGCCAACATTGTCGGACTACTCTCCAGCAAGATCAGTTCCGCCATGCTATTTTCTCCAGATTTCAATAATAAGCGGGACAAAGGTGTTTGTGCATAACTTTTGGAGCCTAATTGGATTGTGGTTTGTTCTTTGAATATTTTGAGATGTACTAGAACCCTCATGATGCGGTAAATGTGAGAAGGATCGCATCTTAAAGCAGAAGAGAGCTCTAAGAGGGTCATGGGGCTTCCACGGGTTTCAATTGCTTCAGCTATCCCGAGCTCAATAGCACATTTTATCACTACGATTTCAACGAACCCGAACACATATTTCCATACATCCACCTTCACATGTTCTTCTTCCTCTTCCCATGTTAACACACTTTGATTATCCTCCATCTCTCTATGTCTGTGTCTCTTCGGCTATAAGCTAGCACGGTATATATAATAGGCTTTTTATTCAAAACGGTCCCTGAGATTTGCATCATCCATAAGTTTGGTCCCTGAGATTTAAAATCAATAGAAGTAGTCCCTGAGATTGTCCACCATCCATGATTTTGGTCCTTCCACTGAAGCTTTTGGCCGGAAGTTTGGGCAATTTCAAAGCTTCATAACTCAATCGTTTCTTAACCAAATTCGACTCATAATACATCAAAATGAAGATAGGAAAGAGTAGAATAAGATTATATCTATTTGGAAGCCCAATGATTGCCGGAGATGGTCAGAAAATAGCCTCAAAGTTGACTGGTTTGAGGGAAAACTGGAAAACTTGCCGGAAACTTGCCGAAAACTGGGTAAACTTTAAACATTCATAACTTCTTCAATACTCAACGAAATCAAGTGATTCAAAAACAAAAATCATACTTAGCAATGAGAAGAAGAGAATGGTACCTTTTTCAACTACTAACTCGCCGTGGTTTGGCCGGAAAACAGCTCGAAAGTGGCTGTTGAAAAATGAGTCAGCAACTTTCGAGCCGTTTTTCAGCCAAACCACGGCTATTTAGCCATTTAAAAAGGTACCATTCTCTTCTTCTCGTCGAGAAGTATGATTTTTGTTTTTGAATCACTTAATTTTGTTGAGTATTGAAGAAGTTATGAACGTTTAAAGTTTACCCAGTTTTCGGCGAGTTTTCAGTTTTCCCTCGGACCAGTCAATTTTGAGGCTATTTTCCGACCATCTTCGGCAACCATTGGGCTTCCAAATAGATATAATCTTATTCTATACTTTCCTATCTTCATTTTGATATATTACGGGTCGAATTTGGTTAAAAAACGATTGAATTACGAAGCTTTGAAAATTTCCCAAACTTCCAGCCAAAAGCTTCAGCGGAATGACCAAAATCATGGATGGTGGACAATCTTAGGGACTACTTCTATTGATTTTAAATCTCAATGACCAAACTTATGGATGATGCAAATCTCATGGACCATTTTGAATAAAAAGCCTATATAATATTTAGGATAAGAGATTGCAGTTTTAATGCTACTCTAAGCTATTGGACTTCCACTAAAACCAATTGGACATAATAGAAGCCTAATAGTTTAGAGTCGCGTCAATTAGTAGAAGCCAAATAGTTTAGAGTCACGTCAAGTTTACTCTTTGGTTAATTACATGTGATTAGAGTTGATGTAATCCATGAATTTCAAACAAAGATTCAATTACTCAATATTTAATATAAATATTGTTATTATAAATGTATCCTGTGGAATCCTATGCGCGATTTATTCAAATCCTTTTCTTCAATTATTCAATCTTTGAAACAGTATTTTTTTCAAAAAGTACTAGATACATGTGGAAAACGTGCTTGCTTTAAGTATCTGATCCCACAATGTTGGATTAGTGGAAATTAGATAAGACACTTAGTGGAAATTAGATAAGACACTTTATCCAAGCCGTAACATCGATCAAGCTCCACAAGATATATGTGTTGAGGAAGATGTTTTGGGAGTTTAGTAAAATAAAACAATAAAAAGGTGTTTGCATAACTTTTGGAGCCTAATTGGATTGTGGTTTTTTCTTTTAATATTGTTAGACGTACTAGAACTTTCATGATGCTAAAGGCGAGAAGGACCGCATCTTAGAGCAGACGGTACTAGAAAATAGTCCTTGCCCTTCGAAATGTGGCCCGGTGAACCACATTTCGTGGGGTTAAGCAATTCTACCGGACGAAACCTTCATTTGATCGAGCAAATCTGATCAATATTTAGAGTTTTGCCAAAGTCGTTACACGGCGAAAAGTTTTCGTGGGGCAAGGATCAAATTGTCAAGCAAATTTTTTGTCGGTGGATTTCTTATAGGTCAATGTGACCCTTTGCCCAACGGTATAAACACTTTGTCCGACGACACGTTTCATCTAGTCGGGCGGTGGGCTAGCGCCTAGCGCCTAGACGGTTTAGTCGGATTTAGGTAAATTTCTTATATATCTTGTAAATAAGTGCATATTAACATTTCCAAAAAATTATACTTATATGAAATTCGTGGATAAGATAATAAAATAATGATAAAATACAAAAAAAAAAGTATCTAACAAATCCAAAATTTAAAAACACATTAAGCATATATGCCATATAACTTAAAGCATTTTGAATGATTATATCTAATTTTTAAAAAATAAAAGTAATAATATTGGGTTTGATGGTTCATAATAAACAGAAAATTTTGATGTCAATATGGTGGTTCATAATAATATTTTTTAGAGATCATATTAATTTATGTTGAATTTAAAGAGAAATAAAGGTGTTAAATATGTGGATGTGGAAAGGGCACACCCATCATTACCATCAATTTATGTCAAATATGTGGATGTGGACGCATGGGAACTCTGCAATCTACACCAAGACTTAATAGTGACATCTTCAACCCGACACACCCATCATTTTTTAGGAGAAAAAACAAGGAACCGAACTGATAGCCTATGGCTTTTTACACAAAGCAAGCAATTTGATGCTAGCTGTTCAAATTTGATTGGAGAGAAACTAAGAAAAAAAATTAAATAAGAAGAGTGTGTGGTCACGTGGTGTGAAAGGAAGAGAGAGAACGTCTTCGTCTTTCCTCTTCCGCCAAATCGAGCGAGAACCAGAAGAAACCCAGAAAAATGCAGCTGATCTGTATTCTTGAAAACATAACAAAACTGAAATTCCTAGACCGCATAGGCCACTCAGTCACCCGTCTAGGCCACCCAAGGGCCGCCCAGGCTGTCTCGGCGGCCGCCTAATCCTTGTCCCGATTTTGCTCCCGATTTTGCGTTAATCCCCTCGGCCGACCACCGCCCAACGCCTAAGCGGCCGTCTAGGCCGATTTTTAGAACACTGGTGTGTAGGGTTGGAAAAAATTCTCGAAAATCCTAATCCTGACCGAACCCAAATCAAAACCAACCTGAACTTTTCAATTTTTAAACATATTTGGTTCGGCTTTTATCCGGAACCATCCAGTTCGGTTTGAAACTTGGTTTAGAGCTTGTGAATTTTTGGTTCAACCGAACCGAACCAAAATTTATATATTTAAATATAACGTAAGCTAATTACCTCAAAAAATGAAGCTAGATGGGCAAGAACCCATGACATCCGATCTTAGCCACTGAGCCAGCTTTCAACTTTTGCTATCATAATATAACATATATATTTATAGGAGTATTATCCACACACTCATTTTACTTCACACACACCCTTTGTTATATTTTGTTTTTTGATATTTTTCAATTCATCTGATCCGACGGCCGAAAATTAGAAGGGTGTGTGAGAAATAAAAAATGATGTGAATATCACACCCCATATTTATATTGTTGGATAATTATTAGTTACGACATTTTTCAAACCCTAGTCGTCACTCTCTCATGATTTCACTTAGCCGTCAACCATCTTTTCCTTTTGAACAATACTTAGCTACTCAAATATGTAGGAACTCCTACTCAAAACTCTTAGTATTTTAATCACATAGCTTTGTACTTATAATCAGAACCGTTTATATTATGATCACAATGTAAAGATCAACTCCGCAAAAAATAAATTAAAATTAAGGTCGTTTAGTCAATCTATTGTAGCAAATACATAGGCGGCTTATAATGTTTTTACCAATACCGTTCATTTGTTTTTAAACAGTTTGATAACTAAACGACCTTAATTTTAATTAATTTTTTGCAAGGTGATTTTTACTCGATAATTTATAATATGAATGGTTCTGATTATAAACACGAAATTTTATAAATTGACAATGAATAATTTTGAGAAATTTTAAGTAAGAATTTCTACTTATCTTTTTGAGTAGCTAAGTATTGTTATTTCCCTTTATACTATTTTATCACTTTCTCACGATTTCACTTAGCCGTCAACCATTTTTTCCTTTGATGCTTTCTCTCTCTCTCTCTCTCTCTCAAGATTTCACTCAGTTGCAACATGCATCTTCTTTCTCAAACTCTTTTTCTCCCTATGTAGTTCAGCCGCAACAACTCAACTCACCCCTCTCTCTGCTATCCTTTCACTCACCTCTCTCTCATCTCCCTTCATTCGCCTCACATTCTATTCCCTTAAAGAATTGGAATTTGTGGTGCAACTGCTGGAGATTGGGCATTTGAAGGAAGCTGAAGGACTAGGGGTATCTTGTTTTTGAATTACGGTTCGATATAGGGATTTACAAATTGGGATTTGGGATAAATTTTTTATTTAGGGTTTTAATTTTGTTGATCACCAATTTGAGAGTAGGTTAGATGTGCTGCGCAGTTTGCGACCAGTTCGGTCAATTCAGAAGTGCACTAGTATGTATTTATTGTTTGCGATGAACGTGGCTAAGTTTGGATCGTGCAAAATCATGTTCTCTCCCTTTATGCTTCCAATTTGAGAGTTGGTTAGATGTTTCAAATATCGTCGTGCATTTGGGGAATCTAGGGATATCCTGCCGAATTTTTTACCATCAGAAATAGTTGTGTGAATCGCAAACCACAACACAAAAAATGCACTTTATGGGATAGGATCATTACGGGAGGCATAAGGGGGCGCTCAAACGTGTGTCAAATTATTATGATGACTAAATTCTCCGAAAAAAGGCACAATGGACAGAGAGTGGATCAAGCTGCAAGGTAGAAGTTGTGATCAATACTTGTATGGGATTGACAAATTTATTCAATTTGCAAGCAACCCTTGCAGTGCTTAGAATCGTATGAGGTGTCTGTGCGTGAAATGTAACAACTGTGTTTGGATGACACTAGACGAAAACCAATATCATTTGTATATGAATGGGGTGGTACACACTTACTCTAATTGGACTTATCATGGAGAATCACCCGTTACAATGTGAACATCTTCCTGCAGTGGGCACTTAGGCATGAACCCTCTTCATATGGCCTTGTTGATGACGACAAGTGATATTGAATGATATTTACCCTAATGCTTCGCTCAATATGGACAAAGATTCGTCCACAGATACAATAAATTGTTGAAAGAGGCTCAACGAGAAAGCATAGTGTACCATGACCAACCGGAACTACAATATGATGCTACAGATTGTTAAACGTATGCTTCTGAAACCAATTCATTGCTTCTAAATCATTCTGGCATGAAGAAGACGATGATCTCGAGTTGAGATATGACAAGATCCATGCATGCAAAAACAGTTGTGTATTGTTTTACGGTTAATTCAAGAAGTTAGACAATTGTCCCAAGTGCAATGAGCCGAGATATGTCCAATGTTTCTTTAGAAAGGAAAAACGCCAAAGAAAATTAAAAAAGAACAGAAAAGAAGAAAACCAGCACGACAATGGGGCAGGGGAGAAGCGGCTTGTGGCTGCGGGAAGGGAACTACGGAGGAGGTGGGGAAGGGATGGCAGACTGGGCACTAAATTGGCGAATCTAACTCGAAGGAAGTTAATGATTTTCGTTTTCAAACTCAAGGAGAAAACTGTAGATACTTGAACTTCAACAGTTCTCTGAAGGAGCGTGTCAAAATCCAATGCTATTTCATACCGGATTTACAGAAGCTGGATCGAGCTTGTCAAAAGAATTCCTGTTAACTTTAGTATGTACAGAAGTTGCCGGAGTTTTAGTTCAGTGGTCTACAAGTTAGAAAATTGATCAATCGATGCAAAAACATTTGATTGACCTAGCCGGCCTCTCTTTCTCACATACAAAAAAAAAAAGCATACGAAGTGCAGAATTGCTCACGACAGATTGTTCTTTAAGGATGACTTTATCTTCTCCACAGCAGCTAAAAGTGAGGAATTTAATTCACAAGTTTCGTTCAGTAACTCGAGCCTCTTCTCAACGTCATTCCCCACAGGCACTCCATCCTCGTGCTTGGTCTCATGCGGTATAGATGGCTTGTTATATTGAATAAGGTTCAGCATCATAGCCTGCGATTACATTCCACATTGCATTAGATTCTCTCAAATGTTAGAAAGCAGTTTTGATATGAATAGTTATTATGGAATTACGTATTTATAGTATCATAATACGGCACAGTCCATAATCATTTTCAACACACAGGGAGTTCTGAATGAACATTCATGCTATACATTCAGTGTAAGAAGGCATATTTTGTACATTTATGTTTCACCCACTTGCTAGACACAACCTACTCTCTAGGCAGACTTACTGCAAGATAATCACGATGAGTTTTAACGATTGTAAGAAAAATATGCATACCTCATGTTGTTGCTTCAGAGAGAAGTCTCGCAAAAGAGACCTTGAAAGCTTATTCCTAAGCAATAGCTTGTCACCAGTGTATGAGTTGAAAATGAAAGCCGAAAGGTGGTGGATAACCAGTTTATATGCAAGTGATCCTCGACTTGCAGCCCTATCGAGGGCATCAGAAGTCCATGACTTAACGTACGCCTCCAAAATACCCGGATTATCCTGCACAAGCAGCAGATTTGATAAATTTTTATCACCTTTGTCGTAATAAGGCCACTAATTTTCATTCTCATTATTATGATTTTTATCTCGCACACGACACTCAAAACTCAAAACTGAATAACAAATCACTCAATTCTCATATCAAGTAAATACTGAATAGCACAAACAAGTCAATGACTAATCAGCGTACCTCAGCAGGTTCAAGGTACCCCTCTGCATCAGTAAAGCATTTCTCAAGAGGTGGCAGAAGTTCAAGAACACGAGAGTTGGTTAGTGTATTCCAGGCAGCAAGGCGCACAGGAGCTTCCACACAACGATGTAGATAAACTGCAACTTGCCGGCCATATATCAAATCACCATAAGATACAGCAGAAAACTGATCCACAAGAGTTTCAATAAATACTGAGTAACTCTCGTGAACCTCTGATTGGAATGCCAGAACGTCCAGGTTGTTTTCGTTTCTAGGTTCTGGCAATAAGGTAGACGGCCTTGCCTGATGAACAAGATTCCCATAGAGATCTTGTAAAGCTTCAAAAACAACCCTACTCTTCTCCTCCTCAACCACACCCATTCCAACGAGTAAGATCACAGATAGAGAATGCAATTTCCAAACCAACGAAACACTATTAACTGGGGATGGGACGTCAACTGGTAAGAAACTGGACAGTGCTTCAATACCCAAAAGGAAGAAAAGCCCAGATTTGGCAACTCCAAGAAAATCACCTTGATCCTGCATGAGGTCTTGTACATTGGAGAACTTCTTAAGACCAGCATGCTTGCTATCACAAAGGGTCGAGATTGGACTGAGAAACCAGGAAATGGGTAGTGGCAGTCTCTGGTGAGCCCACTCTGCAACTAAAGATGTGCAATTTTGACTGATCATAGGTGGTGTGTCCGATTCCTCGTATATGGTATTGAGGGAAGCTTTACCCTTTTTCAGTGATTTACTATCAGAGGATTTCATGCCATCACTATCTTTGAGCTTTTTCTTTACAGATAACCATCTGTCGCTGAAATGAGAAGCTAATGTTTTACTAAAGAGTAGGTAATCCTCTTCTTTATAATCCCAATCAAACAGTTTCATTCCCCCATTTGAGGAAAGAAAACGTCGAATACAGAGATCAAGATACTTAAGAACCGATACATCAAGCAAAATGTTTAACGCCTTTGTCACATAAGTCCTGTCTGTTGGTCCAGCACCTACACATACTACTAAAGATGAATTAATTGCCAGCATAGTAAAAGTCATTTCTTCTTCTGTGGGGCTATTAAAATTGGACACAAGCGTCCAAGTTTCAAGTAAGTAAACGAGAAATCTTGCATCTGCCTGTGATAACAAAACAGTACCAGACCAATATCCTCCACCAGAGGCACCCCAGCCAACTCCTACCCCGGGAGCAGGTCCTCCCCTGCCAAACATCTCAATGGACTGCACATGGGGCCACTCAGAAGCAACTAACTTCATAAAAGTATTTTGCACACTTCTCAATTCAACCAAAGACCCCTTAAGTAAACCATCCTTAAGTACTCTCTCTTCTCTTGATGAAGTGTAATTTTGGGGCGGTGTTTGGACGCCTGTCCTGGCTAACACTATCAATTTATCGATGCTAACAATAATCCCCACCAACCCCTGTAAGCAACATACAGAAGCTAATGATGTTTCGCAGTTACCAAGATTTCTCAAATGGCACAGTTTCTCAATGAAAGAGCCATCTCCCTTGGGATCTATTCCATATTTTGCATAAAGAGTATCTGAATGGCCCATAAACCCATTTTTAATCATTTCAAGTCCCACTTTAGGAACAAACTCTGGAAGCCATGGCACATGACCACCACTTTCAAGTGAGTGGACAGAATCATCTGGTATCACTCTTTCAAGCACTCTGAAAAGCATGTGTACTACAGCTGAATACACCCATAACAAGGAAGTGACTGATAAATCCTGGGCAGTAAGACCACCACGACTTCCATTTTCTCTCTCAAAGAACTTGCATATGCTGGGATCATTCTTCAAAACTATCCACTTTAGAGCTATATCAACCATTGGACCAACCTGGCTTCAAGACCAGAATTCAGTTCCGTAACCAGAATGCTCAGAGATTTCATTGCTCAGACACATCTGTGAGAACAGACTTGGGAGCCTTCTAGCCAAAGCCTCCAGAACAAGGTATCCCTCAGCAGAGATGGATGCAAATTCACAAAGTACATCATTCTCAATAAGTTTTTCAATAGTAGGTGCGTTCAGCCACAAGCACAAGTTACGGAAAATATCTGAGAAGTATGACACACAATAGCCATGCTGAATAAAAACCTTCCAAAAACGCAGTTGTTCAACCTTCAAAGCCGAAGAAAGTTTACAGTTTTCCTTTCCAGATTTTACCCAGTTGTCAAGGAAGGAAATATTGATACAAATGCCATGTCATAGTTTGGAAAGTCCCATTCTTTATAAAAGCAACACAGTTCTTCCGATCAGATTGAGCCAACACCTTTTATATACACAAAAATAAGGATAAAAGTATTAGTTTTATCCAGAATTAAATGCAGGCATAATTCCCTTATAATAGTTCATCAGGAACAAAACATGCGAGACAATTGGACATAAAAGTTGTACAGAAACTGCTGACCTTTAGAAGTCTAACAGACTTTATTTTAGAAGGCTGGATATCTACAGTGTCTTTTGCAATAAATCTGCTGATAATTGTTTCAAGAAGCCTTTCACAATTCATGATTGCAACCGCACATTTTGGGGAATGCCTTGCAATTGCAATAAGTATAGAGATTGTGTATTCTTCCAAAGCCGCCATAGGGTCTGACTGAAACCACATAAAACAATACACTTTAGGAGGAAATTGCAGATCTTTCCTCAAGTTCCTAAAAGTCCTTCAGTATAAAACTTTTCTAGCAGCATCTTACTATATTTTTAACACTATTAATTGTTGAATCTGTGTTCTGTCATATACCACAAACCAACATTTACATCCATCCAACAAAGGGAACTAAGAATGTAGTTCAGCCCTCGTTACCTTGATAGAAGAATCAGAAACAAATTGTGAAAAAAAAAATGTATGCGCACATACATGACACACCAATAACCTTGTGTTAAGACTTTAGGAATCCTTCAAGCTTGGCACTTATGCGCTTTCTGATGTGTTACACTCATGTTTAATGTTAAAGATGCCGGGCAATTTAGTAACATTAAACAAACTCTCTACATCAACTAACAAAAGATTAAAGACGTGCAATGAATGTCAAAGTCCCACTACGAAGGAAGGAGGTGAGGGTCTGAATTTAGATTAGTATTTGGTTCTCTATTATAAATCTTGGGAAGCTTGAGTGATTATCAAATCCCTGCATAGCTCTTATAGTTGTCCCGAATAGAAAGAAACTAAAGGACTAACCTCCAAAACATAGCGAAGCCGTGGAAGGATTCCCATCCGCACCAAACCTGCCGCAAAATCTTGTCCAGCAACTACAACATCATCCTGAATGGTACGTTTCCCTTCAGTCTCATCATTAATAATTTCCTCATCAAGAGCAAATATATTAGAAGGCTTGGCATTGTACTTCCAAAATCCACCACGAAGGAAACCAACATCAATCTCTGGTTTGCTTCTGAATACAGGGGCAGTAAATATATCCATATGCAGGGTTGCTATTTTCTGAGAGCAGAATATATTAAGCTTGAAGTAATAAAAACTGATAGATTATAAACTTCATAAAAAAGGTCGTACCCAGTGCACAAGGCTCCCGCTTTACGCAGGGTCTGGGAGAGGTGAATGTCGGCTAGCCTTACCCCCATTTATGGAGAGGCTGCTCCCAAGTCTCGAACCCGAGACCTACCGCTCATGGGCGAAGGCACTTGCCATCGCACCAAGTGCGACCTCTAGATTATAAACTTCATAAAAGTAGAAAAAGAACAAAGAAACGTATTACCAAATCATGAGCCTATTGCCACAGCTGTAGATATCGGTTGCACGATTAGAATAGTAATAAGAACAGAAAAGAAAACCCTACCTCTGAGACGTCAAAGAAGCTCTCATTCACATCACAGCTTAATATGCGGTGAAGAACTTTGGCACAAGCCAGAACTACATTATTGTGGTTATCATCGAGACATATCCTACAATAAATTAGAGATTAAATTGCAACAATATCCAGTAAAAAACCCATATAATCAGAAAGATGGCATAATCGTGTTTGCAATATCAACTAGTATGCAATAACACCACAAAACAATCGAACATAAGAGTAAGTTTACAAGATGAAGGCGGACACTTTAGGTATGGCTGGTTTCAACAAATTTTGGAACATAAGGATCCAGATATTATTCACCTAAGAGATAAAATAAGCTCAGGTTCTGGGCCAAGTGCATAAGCCCAAACGGCTTCCCAGTCAGCAGATTTGTCGAGTTTACTAGTATCTTTTCCAATAAACTGATCTTGTGCTTGAATATTTTGTAATGCCTTATCAAGCACAGTTGAAAGGAAATGCAAAGCCAGCGTCCGCTGTCCAGGAATCTAAAACCACCAAACAGCATATGGTAAAACAGGATAATTGAAATCAGGACGCAAACTTTACCAGTAGCAACAAGATTTGACACATAATATAATAGACCCACGGTCATGGACATAGTATATCATCAAATTTAGAGAAATTAAAAAAATTACATTATCAAAACAGTTGGTGTACTATTGTAGCAATCAAGAATATAAACTTACCACACTCCTAGTAAGAGACACTGCTTCTTTAATTGTATAACCAGCAGCACCGGGATCCCCCTCAGTACGCAGGTAGTCACGCTCGGATAAATTACCTGTACAATGGGAGAAAATTTTACCTGATGCTCTATTGAGGTATATTCATCATTTTAAAAGTAATATCATTCAGTGCAGTTGTGCTTCCCATACAAATAAAAATTACCGATGCTACAAATTTCATAGTAAGAGAAAATTCAACTACAAAACTATGTCCCATGTTTGGAGAATATAAAACAGTAAAAATAGAAAACAAAACAGGAGTGATGAGGAGACCATGATCTCTTCAAATATGGAACGAAAAAGAAAATTAGCTTCTGCCGAAAAATCATATAAACAAGCATTAAAACTTACTACTCTGAGATATCTGGTGGAAGCCATTTATAATAACAGTTCCATCCAAGGAAAACCTTAAGTCCCTAACTGCCTGGACTCTCTCACTCCAAGCATTCCACAAACTGCCACTGGCTTTGCCTGAATTCTGCTCCAATCTATCCTTAACTGAAGTTTGTGTATCGTTTGAAGTAATTTTTGTAGCCACATGAGACGGCCCACTGTGAGAGCTAGAGGAAGCTTTTGGTTCATTGTTATCTGAGCTGGGGCTTCTTTGCTTCCTCAATTTCTCTTCACCCCTCCGTTTGAGTACTTGGAGCAATGCAGGGTCCAGTCTCCCCATGATCTCCGCCTGTGCTTCTTCAATCTCATCTGCAGACATCCCTTGCAACCGTGCATGGTTCTCTTCATCAATCTGAGCCTCAAGTGACACAGATTCCCCTTGTTCATTTCGAATATTATCAGGCATGGAATTTGCATTCATGTCCGCTTCAATTTCCATGTTGTTAAACACAGATTCTTGTTCACTCTTCGAGTTACCCAACACAGATTCTTGTTCGCTCTTCGAGTTACCCAACACAAATTCTTGTTCAATCTTCAAGTTACCCAATGCAGATACATGTTCATTCTTTTGCCGGGAAAGCAATTTATTTGACTCAATTTTTCTAGTACTAAATTCCATTGTTTCCCTTAAAGTTCTTGAGCTATTATCATCAAGCTCCTTCTCTGCCCACTTACTGAAGTCCATATCCTTCTTCTTCTTCCTCTCAACCCGTATAGCGAAATCCCTGATGTGTTCGAAGTCCATAACATCTTCATCATCCTCATCATCCCCTTCACCACCATCCTCCTCACCACCCAATTTACTATTCACCGGACCCCAATGCTGTAAAATCAACCAAAACCAATCACAATTCATGTATATATTCACCATTTTCCCTAAATTATCAAACTTTCTTATCAACCAAACAAAAAAATCAAAAATTTTCACCTATGTGACCAAATTATCAAATTTTAAACTTTTCACAGTGGTGATCATAGTAACAATCTTGCAGGGCTTACAGGGCCGGTGGAACGGTGGCGAGCGACGGGGAAAGGAAGAACCGTCGGCCGAGGCGGTGGAGTGGGGCCCGACAGCGGCATATCGGAAATACCTTTCTCGACTATGCCACCGACTAAGCTCGAAGCTCCATCGCCGTCGCTCGTCTGAAGTGCTTTGGTGCCAAATATGACCTTCGGCTTCCTCTTGGTTGGACCGCTTGCTTTGGTGCTTTCCTTCACCATGGCTATGAGCTTCTAGGGGTGGGTTGAAAAAACCGAAAACCGAAAACCGAAAAAAACCGGACCGAAAACCGAACCGAGACCGAAAAAAAAAACTAAACCGAACCGAATTTGGTTGGTTCGGTTTCGGTTTCTGGGGTTTGGAAACCGAACCGAACCGAAGTTCTTCAAAACGACGTCGTTTTGTAATTTTTTAATTAATTAATAATAAAACTATTCTAAACGGCATCGTTCTACACTTCTACTTCTACCGTGTAACCCTAAGTCCCTAACCCTATCCGCATATTCCTCTTTGCTCTCTCCCATTTTCCCAGTTTGCCACGACACCTCCTCTCTCTCAGCCGTCATTCTCTCATCTCGCCGTCAGCTTATTCTTGCCGTTTCAAGTCTCGACAGCAAAAGGTTAGTCTCACACTCTCACTTCTCTGTGTTTAATTTTCTGTTCTATTTATTTGTTGAAATTGGTTCAGTTTGGACAAGATTAGAGAAGGATTCATTTCATACTTTGCATTTTCTATTAATCTGCCGGTTTTCTGGGTTTCTTTCTGCAACAATATACTATATGTGTAGTGTGGTCATGTGAATTTGAGATATTTCAATTTTCAATAGATTGTAATTTAAGATTTTTCTGGGAGGGTTTTGGTTTTTGGGAGGGTAAACATTTTGGCCGTACTGGGTTTTGGTTTTTATAGATTGTAGAGAGAGAGGGTGGAGAAAGAGAGACAGATTGTCACTGTGAACTGGCCCGTCCCCGTCATTCAGCAACCTTCATGCCAGAGAGATAAACCCAACTCTGAATCATTAAACAATTAGTAATGCAAAATGACAAGCGTGCCAATTAGTCATGCAATACTTTGTTCGTTAAACAATTAGTAATGCAATACTTTGTTCTTTTTGATACAAAACATACGCACGCACTAAACCCACGGAAACATAAAAGATCATCTCGTTATCTACTATTCTGAAGACTAACGATGTTGTTGCCATTTTTTGTTGCAGTAATCTGTTTAATTCATTTGATACAGCTAAGCAAGGCATAGTGACTCTAGATCTCAACCAGTTTGTCTACTGCAGTGAGTGCCTTACTAAATATGACACTGAACCCCATCTGGAGGTCACTTTAAATTTATAGTTCTTGGTTGCTTAACGAGTATCTTTTCTTCAGGCCACATCTGGAGGTTACTTTTCGAATTTTGGTTAGAAGGATAGGACTTTGTGACTCCATATCTGCCTTAAAAATTCAGTGTGATTGTTTTTCTATTTTCTGGATTTTAATCTTGCTAACTAAAAAACAGTAGGCTAATTTATTGCCGGACCAAATTCTATATCAACTGTATGTATATCATGTGAATGATATCATGTTCAGAGTAAGAAGATACTGAGTTCAGTACCTCCAGTACCCTCATTAGAGTGAATGTTACAGTTTGCAATTAAGATAGTGAATGTTATAGTTTTAATTAACATTTACTTTTGTATAAGTTTGTAGTACTAACTACTATCCTCTTATTATTTTGATGTTTATTTAACTTTGGACTTTGGAAGACTTGATTGTAATTGAACTTTGAATGTTTATTTTCATTGTTTTTTATTCTATTAGAAATTTGGAATGCTTATTTCATCGATTATGTTGAAATGAGACTTTGATTTTATTTATACTCCTTTGGAAGATGTATTACAAAATGGCTGCAAGTTGTTTTTTTAGAATTTTTTTTTGCTATTGAGAGAGAGAGAAAAAAAAAATAAATAAAAAAAATAAAAAAATAAAAACCGAACCGAGAAAAACCGAACCGAATACAAACTGACAGAAAATCGAACCGAACTGAACCGAACAGTAATTTCGGTTCGATTTCCGGTTTTGGCAAAAAACCGAACCGAACGGAACTGAACCCACCCCTATGAGCTTCACTCTCAACTCTCAGAAAGTAGGGTTGGAAATTTGGGCAGGCTCAATTTAATATATTAACCAGCAAGTCTTGGAGAATACACACAAGTTAGCAATTTGATTTATTTTTATTCCTTGGAATTAAATGAAAAAGATTATTTAACCGAATTTTTCAATAAATATGAATAGCTTCTATTATATTCTTAAATAAAAGGGTTAATCTTTGTTTACTACTATGAAGTTTCGTGGTTTTCAACATTTTATACATGAAGTTTTTTTCATCCCAGAGTCATACCTCAAGTCTTAAATTTGGAACAGTTTCATACATCAGTTAAGTTTTCCGTTAGAGCTTCTGTTAACTGATGACATGGTGCCCACGTGGACAATAACTTAGCGTCACGTGTTAATATAGGTCAACTTTAATAATAAAAAATTAAAAAAATACACAATAATAAAAATTATAAATAAATAAAACTTGGGTTATCTCCTACTTCTCCCGACCTTCCCTCCATTCTCCCTTCATTCTCTCATATGCACCCTCACTCCTCTGATCCTTCCCTCCACCTCACCGCCACCCTACCAAACCCATATCCTCTGCACCCTCACTCCCTCACTCCCTCACTCCTATGATCCATCCCTCTACCTCAACGCCACTCTACCAAACCCATAACTGGTTTCTGTGCCCCCTGCCTCAACGAATGCCTCGCAGGCCTTGACTCCGTCGTCGCCGCTTATCAAGAACCCTCGACCCATAACCCCCATTCTGGGTATGAGCTCCAGAGAAGCAAGTTGTGTTCCAGAACGAGACCCGAATCGTCATCGACCAACGCCCCGGACCCGACCCGGCGCAAGTTGTGCAATGTCAGGGCCTGGAACACTCTGTCAAGCTCTTTAACATCGACGACGACCGCAAATGAGTGCCGAGAAAGTTCCATGTCAAATTGAGATATGGAGATAAGGACAATGGTGGAAACGAAGCTAAGGTTTTGAATTTGCATGCAGATGCAAATTCGGAGTTCAAGATGGGCGAGGGTAAGGATTCGAAGGAAATTGCAGGCAAGATGAAGAAGGCTGAGCAAAAAGGTGAAGCAATGGTGGCGGAAGTAGAAGACGAAGAAGGCTGAGAACGAGGGTTTCGTAGTGGAGAAGATAAGGGAGACCTAGTCCGAAGTGGGAAAGTGTGCATTCTCCGGCGATCAAGCCCAGCAACCCTTCCGTCTTCCAATCCTTCAAAATGATAATTTGGGCGTCGAGTTGGGATTTTTGCTTTTAGGTAGAAGACGGGTTGCAGAGGGAAGAAAGGAAGGAGGGGGTTGGGGGAGGTAGAAGACGGGTAGGGGATTTTTTGTATTTTTTTAGTTTTTTAATATTAAAGTGGACCCATATTGACATGTGGCGCTCAGTTATTGTCCACGTGGGTGCCACGTCAACAGAAGTTCTAATGGAAAGCTTAACGGATGTATGAAACTGTTCCAAATTTAAGACTTGAGGTATGACTCTGGGATGAAAAAAACTTCATATACCAAATGTTGAAAACCACAAAACTTTAGGGTAGTAAACATAGATTAACCCTAAATAAAATGATGATAAGAAAACAAAATGAAGGGGTTAAACAATTAACAATTTATCAGAAAAAAAAAATCGAATGTTGCTCATACTGTTTGACGAGAATCTAACGAATGATTGTAATGATGTTTTATTGTCAATAATTGAAGGTTTTTTAGTCAATATAGTTTCTGAGATTTGTCTAACTTTTAACTTTGATTCCTAAGATTTTAAATCAATAGGAGTAATCTCTAAGATTGTCCACTATCAATTATTTTGGTCATTCGGTTAAAAATTATGTTAAATAATGATCCAATGACACAATTACCCTCAATATAATAAACAATAGGGCAAAATGATTTGACAAAAATTAAGGGTATTTTTTCATTTTATCCTTATTTTATTTAGATTTTTCACGAAATGACCAAAATAATTGATTGTAGACAAACTCAGGGATCAATTATATCGATTTCAAATTTCAGGAACCAAAGGAAATAGTTATACAAATCTCAAAAACCATTTTGGCTAAAAATGTCAAGTTCGATGTTGAGGATTGACCTCGACATAGTAGCTCCATTTTTTTTTTCTTTTCAATGTTTAAGGCCTTGGTTGAGATAGCAAGCACATGCTAAACTCTTGACTCCCTATCTTTCCAATTTAATTAAAAATTCAACAATTTTAGTGAAGCTACATACAACCCTAAGGCCTCGTTTGGCATGCTGTATTACACACGGATAATACTATATAATGCGAATACGGTGTTTGGGGTGTGATGTATCATTTTAGTACTCGAACTAAATCTTCGGGCCCACTACTTTAGTGCGCTCCAGGCCTGCTTAATTATCCCACCCAAAGCCCATGGATAATTAGTCGGGAGAACAACACTATGCTTCTTGAATTACTTCCTTCTTCCATCGCATGGGCGTTCGTGAATTCTTCCTCCGTTCCATCGTCTTGGAGTCTGAACTCCAGAAATTGTTCTTCTTCTCTATGTTCTTTCTCGCACACAGTTTCTCTCTATCTATCTATCTTCCTCCCCCTCTCTTTCATTCTTCCATCTCTCAAATTTTCTTGCAACTTCATGTTTTTTCTTGCTTGATTTATATAATAAATCAAACTAATAGTATTATTATCCCCATTTCAATTGATTTGTAATCTTGGTTTTTTTTAATTAAAATTAGGGTTTCTCATTTATTTCAAATCTGAAAATTTAAGACAAATTGAAAAATTCAACATTGAATTTTTATGTTTTTTTTGTTGCTTTTTATGTTTTTCAGTTGATTATTGTTTCAGATTTAGATTTTGTATTTGTTCGTGTGTGTGTGAAAGAGGGGCGCGAAGCAGGGGATGAGGGGGACAAGTCCTGGGCATTTGCTTCCTGCGGTGAAGATAATTTGCCTTGTGAGTTGTGAGGTTGTTGCCGGACTTCATTAACATTTCAATTTTGATGTTTGGACTCTAAAGTTCATTATTCTTCTATCAAGCATCGTTTAGTACGTCGTATACCGGATAGGATTATTAATACGGAATCGGATATTTGGTGTACTCTCGTATTAAATTGGACCGGACTAATTTAATTCAAT